CCCCTCCTCCGACTCTGTCGACAGCTCGTGGTTCCAACTTCAGCTCGACACAACTTACTCCTACGCTTTCCTGCCCCTCTCCTGTCGCTTCTCTCTCCGCCACGACCACCACCGCACCTGTTTACCAATCTGTATCCGGGACCGCGCGAATTGAGAGCAACTCGGGCGTGAGGACTGGAACGGTTGGTTCGAGCATTGCCTCCAACCCCATTGTTCGCGTTCGAAACTAGTGTCGGGGGCGCAACACGAAGGTTACGACGGTTCTCCAGCCACCCACCAAGATGTTTGCATCTTTAAGCGCGGCTGATTGCGATTACTTGGGTTGGAAGTCGAGACCGACCAACGATCGACCAATGTCGCATCGACCTTTCCAATATCGACTTCCCTTTAAAACCTCCACCCGCTTACTATCGTGCATTCGACGGTATTCCAACCTTCGATACTTGCCGTGCAAGATTTGTTTGCCGCGGGTAAATCGGCAATGCGCTGAGACGCGGAGAAAATATTTGTTCGAACGGGGAGTTTCGAGTTTGATAGAAAGTCACGAGCCGAGGGGATACCAAGACGCGCTATATATATATATATATATATATAGGTCATTCGATGTATATCCAGAAAGAGAAGGGGGAGAAATGGGAAGGGAGAAAAGAAAAGGGAGACGTTTAAAGGAACTTATTTAACGGTCTTTATCCAACGATTCTATCTATCCGCGCGCAATCCTATCTTCGGGAAACAAAATCGAGTCTAACGAGGAGGAAGAACGGGGGCAAACATCGTGCAATTTACGCTCGATTCGAGGCCGCGGTATTTCTATCGGGAATTCGAAAACTCGACGATTCTTCCCCCGTTTGAAACGAAACGCTTCTAAATTAATTAATCCCGGCGGAATTAAAGGGAGTTAAACGGTGGAAACTTGGACCTCTGATCGACTCTGGGGCCACTGCGCGCGAGGACGTTGGCTTGGACGAACAATGGGAATTAGGGGGAGTTTAAAGAGAAGCCGATGTTTTGTGTACGCTTCGTATAACGTTGCAACGATATTATGGAAATAACACAGGAGGAACGACCCTCGAAACCCGGTAAAGGGGAAGGGTACAGGGTGTCCCTTAGGCCGAGCTTATCGTCCAAAGCGCTTTTCGCCCTGGAGGTTTCGAACGGATATCTCGACGAAACGCGTAAGAGTGCGCGATGGAATTTTTAAGAACGGGGTTGAACGGCCTGCGATTCCAGGTGGCTTCCAAGCGAACGCGTGCTTACATATTTTTTTTCTCGCACGATACAGCCAACGTAGAAGAAACTTGGCGATAAGGCTTCTCGGGTAATCAGATCTACCATTTCCTACGAAAACTATCTATAATCAGCGAAAAAAAAAATGGAAAAATAAGAACTCGGATCGATCGATTAATTCGCTGTGAAATGAATTAAACAATCTCGAAACGATATATAAATCCACGCAATTTTCGACAAGCAAAAGAATCGGCAAGAATCAGAGCTGGTACGCTCCATGCTATAGACGGAGCACCCGTTGATTTAAATTGCCTCTCGCCTGCCACGAAAGCGAGAAAAATTAATTCGCATATATATGAATTAAATATTATTTTCGAAACGATATATAAATCCACGCAACTTTCGACAAGCAAAACATTCCCGAAATTCTAAAGAAGGAAGTAGCCGCGGCCCGATAGAATCAGAACTAACACACCCCATAGTACAGAGCACCCGTTGACTTAAATTGCCTCTCGCCCGCCACGAAAGCGAGAAAAATTAATTCGCTATACGATGAATTAAAAACGTTATTCTCGAAAAACCACGCAACTTTCGGCAAGCAAAGCATCCCATCCCGAAATTCTAAAAATAAGTAGCCGATAGAGTCAGAACTAACACACTCCATAGTATAGACGAAGCACCCGTTGACTTAAATTGCCTCTCGCATGCCACGAAAGCGAGAAAAATTAATTCGCTATACGATGAATTAAAAACGTCATTCTCGAAAAACGATATAAATCCACGCAACTTTCGGCAAGCAAAGCATCTAAAAATAAGTAGCCGATAGAGTCAGAACTAACACACCCCACAGTATAGACGAAGCACCCGTTGGCTTAAATTGCCTCTCGCCTGCCACCAATCTTATCGTTTCGAGCCGGCGTGATTGTTACGAGAGTCATGTAGTGGCTCGAAGCTGCATGGCGTGTTCCGAGTTTCGCTCGCGTTCCGCGTATACGTACATTTCGCCCGCGTGTGTACGTGTACCGAGGCGTGGGTAGAACCGGTGAGGTGTACACGCGCGGATATCGGCCTATATAATATCTATACGGATACCGTGCAGAGCGGGCGGTGTATCGTAGAATCGGTTGTCGGGCTAATCCTCGTCGCGCGAAACGCGCAACGGCGTGCAAATAGAAGGTAAAGAAGAGCGTATGGCGCATCCGGTGCGGGGAGAGGGAGGGAGGGGGAGATGGCAAAGCTCTGGCCGATACGCGTGTACCGTACGTGGCTGGCGATGTTTTATCGCGGCGGAACGTGGAAATTTTTCACTGGATAAACCTCGAAACGCTGCAGCTTTTTGCAGCCTCGCTTTTTGCGGCATTAGACACGGACGAGAGGAGGAGAAAAAGCGTGGCGCGAATTCGACCGTCCACGACACGAAACGGGAAACGAAACGTGTACGGTGGCGTGTTCGCTCGTTAAATCGCGACCGAGCTGTGCGGTGATGGTATTGGTGGTGACGATGGTGGTGGTTGGTGGTGGTGGTTGCCGTGTATTACGATATTACGGTGTATCGGAGCGATGGCCGGCCGAGATGACACAGATTCGCGGCCGCGCATCGGTCACGGAGAAATTGGTAAATCCGCCGCCCGGCACGAGCGACGCCGCGCAAAATAGCCTGCGGCTACGAATCGATTAGATCGGCCGTTCCGCGTTCCGCCAAAGGAATTCTTTGTGGGAGTGCACCGGTGGTTAATTGGCAGGTAATCGAATAAACGGCAGCTCCATCCTTGCTCGGCGTAACCGGCCAATTTCCGCGTATCTGGAAACACGGTTTGAAAAAAAGAAAAAAGGGAGAGGGAAAATCTCCCGGGGGGCCGTTTCAATTTTACGGATTCATCGATTTCGAAAGATCCAAGGAAAACTTTGGCGAATCGCCGGTGAATCGCCGTTAATTCCGCCCTTTTTCCCCAGTCGACCCGACTCTCCGCGTCCACCGCATGTCCGGTCCGCGTCCATCGAAGCCAACGTGTTTCCCTCCAGGCGGAATCCAGCGAAGCGAGCGGTCGAACGTGGACGAGCACAAATGTTGGCGAGGCTGAGCGCGCACATTTTTCGGAACTCGTTAAAAAGGCAATTTAACTTGCCGCTCGCGGCCCATTAATACGATCGCGTTATCGACTAACCGCGACTTTCCAACTTCTGCTCTCGAAAATGCATCGTTATACCCCCGAATAATGCCCAAAGGGAGTCCGTTCGAATTTTTCCCTCGACACTTTGTCCATCTTTCTGTCTCTTCCCCGTTCGTTTCTTTCTTTTTTTTTCCCCCCCTACCGATCGATTCACCCTATGTATTCACGCGTGTACACGTCAAAACGCAATCGAGTTAAAATGTTTCGCGAACAACGAACAAACGAAGATGGACGAACCTATTATTCCGCGAGAAACGACGAGTGGCGGCATCGAGTTCGATTCTCCGATTCCTGCATCCGTGCACGCACACGCCATAAAATATTCCATCGCAACCAACCTTCTTTTCCCTTCCTACCAATTACCTACTTTGCTCTCCCCTCTCCCCTTTTTGCGTAATTCCTCCTTTTTCCTTCGCAGAAGTTCCCCTCTTCTCCTCCTCCTCCTCCTCTCTCTCGCAATTCCATAACAGAAAAAAAAGAAGGAAGAGAAAAAAGGAAGAAAGGGAGGAAAGAAGGGAAAAAAAAAATCAATAGGCCGCAGGAAATTGAATTTGGTCCGTGCAAACTGACCCATCGTGTATCGCAGCTGCGTGCCGCCTCTGGCGAACGCCGCCGCTACGGGGAAAAACGGAAAACGAGGAACGCGAAGGAAATGGCGTTGTCGATCGGACGCGACCGAGCCTCCATCCAGGCTTTCGTTCGATTTTGTACCTGGCTCTGAAAAAATATGTTCTATCCCTTTGCAATCGTCGCACGGTTCTCCGTTGCCGATCATTCGACCATCTATTCCTCGAACACGCGCACAGTCGATGGACGAAAAGAGACACCATATCTTTCTCTCTCCTTTCTTTCCATTCTTCCTTCGCGTACGATCATATCGACGCTCCACTCCACCCCTCACTCTTTCTTTTGAAATCCGCGGTTCATTCCAAACTGGACAATTCGAATCGAGGAGGTGGATAGTTATAGTCCCCTTTTAAAACCCTCGAACGAGATTTATCACCGTGAAATTTCGAATTAGGCGAGATGCGATCGAGACGGAAGACGGGAAAATTTAAACACGCGAGTAAGTTGGGGTTAAAGACCGAAGACGGGATATCTTCCATCATCCCCTCTTCCCTCGTGTACGTACATCATCAGGAGGGGGATAGGGGAGCGAGACAAGGGAACCGGATCGTTTTCTTATCCCGGTTGTTTGCAAATACAAGAGTTTCAATTTGTTCGCGCACATAAGCATTTTCCAATATCGTTGTTCCTTCCTACGTGAAACAAAGGGGAAAGCAATTTCGCGAATGCCTGCGGAGATACCGCCTCTCCTTAAGGACACCGTGTAATTTAAACGCAACAAACACGTCGGAAAATTGGAGCACTCCGTGTAGTTTCCTTCCCTTTTACACGGACAAGTCGAGGAAGGGAAAAAATGAATTCTCCAGTTCGAACTCGGATTAAAACCGGTACCGAGCCAAAGGTACAAAGGAGAGAGAGAGAGAGAGAAAAAAAGGGGGAGAAAGGAGAAAGAGGAGGGATAAAAGATGACTTTAACGAAGTCTATCCAATATGATCGTTCTGGTGGCGTTATTGTGTGCAAATTTCTTCGCTTACCCTCCTCGTCGCTGCCGATCATGGCGTAACGCTCGTATCCCGTGAGGTTTCTAACTGCGCCAAGCCCGAAGTCGTCCTTTGTCCATTGAATAGGTCCCTTCTGATCGAGGACCCGGCAAGGAAGCGTCACCCGGCTGCCAATCACCGCCGTCTGATCCATCGGCTCGATCGCGAATCTCTGATAAACTACTTCCGTGGTCGTGATCGGCCTCACCGTCGAGGCGAGCGGTGACACGTTTGTCATGTTCGTCGCTGACGCCGTTGTCCTTGTTCCCAGTGTCAGTAGCAACGACAGCCAGATTATAGACGGCGTTGATCTTGCCACGCCTCTCGTCCTCGCGCTGAAACAACGGAAAATGGGGTTAGAACTGGGGTTGCTGTTGTGGAGAGGATAATATAATCGGTAGTCACGCGATACCGCGAGAAAAAGAAGAAGAAGAAGAAGAAGAAGAAGAAGAAAAAATGAAGAAATTCGATTCGAGCGTGTACATACTATCTACACTACACTGTTATTACAATTCAACCCTTCGTCATCTCGTTACGCTTGATCGCTCGAAAACGATATCTACGCGGCCAATTACGACTTGGACTTTGGTCTCAGGGGAGAGAGGGGAAGTAGGCAAACGAGAGAGCGAAAACGATCGATAATCGAATTATACATCGAGCGTATTTACGTCGGCGCAACGATATTCGAAAAGGGTGGTTATCGTTAAAAACGTAAAGGCGTCGTTACTCAAGTTTCCCCTCCCTCCCTCTCGTTTTCTCCTCGTCCTCCTTCCTCGCGAGCCGAAGCTTGTTTAACGACCTTGCAGACGACCGCCTTCGCCCCGTTTACCTTCGAGCCGTCCTTGTTTATCTTTATGGTCCCATCGGATTGGAAAACGAGAGCGGAGACCAAGAAGTCGTCGCCGTAAATGAGACGATAAAACTATAGCCCCGTGCAGCAATTTATTATTGCGTTCCTAGACGTTCCCTTCCCCTGCCCGTGTGGACGGCAGCGCACGTGATGCCACCATTACGACGAGAAAGAGAGGAGGGATCCATTTACCATCTCGTTCACCCTCCCCCCTTTTTACTTCGTTTACGACGGTAATACCGTTTTGTCGTTGCGACGAAAAAAATACACTCCGCTGCTGGCAATTATTGCGCCACTCGTTCGACGACGACGGCGACGACGACGACAAAGGGCGACGATCTCGTCGAGGAAAAGGAAGGAGAGGAGGGTGAGGGCGGGGGACGCTAAACGATCGAGAAACACTTTAATAAAACTCGATCAACTCGCTCTCCTCCACTGGTATCGTTGCCGCGACAATTACATTCGTGACCCCGGAGGGGAGAGCGTGATCGATATCGAAATATTCTTCGCCGCCGACCTAAGCGGTTACCGATCGGCGAAACCCTTCTTCGTCGAAACCAAATATACATATCGTTTCGGTCCTCCCATCGCGGTGTCTGACAACGTACGCGTTCAATTCCTCCACCGCGTTGCGATCTACGCGAGGCAATTTCTCCCTCTCCTTCTCCAACACGTCCCCCACTCCTCCTCCCGATCGAGAGACGCGAACACGTTCCACGCGCGGTCACGTCATCGGCCGGCCGTTCGGCTTAATCGTTTCATCGACCTCTCAATTAACTTTCATTCGTCCGATTCTTGCGCTTGGATCGGACCATGGTCGAGTCGTCTGCATCGCCGTCCGCCTTCTTTTGACCGCAAGAGACTTCGCAGAAGATTTCTCCCCCTCCTCCCTTGCCTCGTCGTCTCCTCCTCTTGGACCGCGATATTTCTCGAAATTTACCCTTAACCGCCGCTAACCAACTTTCGCCCAACTTCCTGCTAAGCCTCCGTCCGCGCGTCGCGACACCCTGCTTCGAGAAGAGCGGTTCCGCTCGTAACGCGTCGCGCTCTCGTGTTTCTCGTTGAAGTTGAACGACGGCGCAGGGGAGGAGGGGGCGGGCACGGCTCTTGTCGCGCCATGTTCCGCAGAGGGAGGATGTCGTAAGACGGTCGTACGACATCGCGCGGCCGCCCGCTTACGAGCTGAATAGGATAATAAGCTCGGTCGTACGGTAACCGGTCCGAACCGTTTCAATGGAATACGAGACTAATGGACGTAATAATAATTGCGCTTGTGCCCGCTTACGCCGTATAACGGCGTATGACAACCCCCCTCGTCCCGTGCTCACCTAGGAACTGTGAAACGTGTCCGCGACGCGGCCTATGTGGGCCACGTTTCCTGTCGTCGTTGACAAATGCCTGGATCGGCTGCGGCTTTTGCGGCTCCAATCGATAAGCGCCACTTTAACGCGTACGCCGAGGTTTCTCGTTTTACCAACCCGTCCAAACGCGGAAAATGAAAATACCCAAATAGTGCTAATAAGGACTATTTAATTCACTCCCTGACCGAACGTATCGCGTCGTTTCTTTTCGAATTCGAGACGAGGAGGAGGAGGAGGAGGAAAAGAGGGGATATTTGCATTTGCCTATTTCTCGCGTTCTTCTATTTTTTTCTATTTTTTTACCTCGATCGATCAGCGTGTGAGAGATGATACTTCATTGATAAAATTTGAAATTGAATTTTGGCGAAGCACGGGTTCGACCTGATTTTCGGAATTAAAAATATTCGACGGTTTGTCGTTTATCATACATATTCGTTCTCATGGAGGATAAAATTTTCGATTTCATTACCCGTGCAAATGTGAAACGAGAAAATTTTAGATTCTAATTAATCAATGCGCCCTTCTATACTTTGGAATTTTTACGTTTCGAGGATGTTCAAAGCGGTCTCCTCGATCACGGATTATCGGTCGAATAATCGCGATTAATATTTTTAAATTAATTTCAATCGAATCCACGCATCGGGAACCGGCCAGAGGTTATAATTACTCGGATTACGTTATATTTCCGCGCCGCGATAAATAATCACCGATGCGGTGAAAAATTTTGGGGGATATTTATCGTCAACCGGCCAATATTTTTCGTTCCTCGCGTCCCATCCGTGTTCCATCCACTCTCCGCCAAACTCGCCGCAAATCAACGATTTTCAACCACCACGCCTCGAACCTTCACGAATTTCGATTCCGATTCCGATTCGCCGCGAATTTCGCGATATAATCGTGCTCGTCGAGTCGTTAGTGAAATTTCGCGAGAGGACTACTGCAGGCTTCGTGGAGGCGCGCGAAAGGAAGAAAAAAGGGAGGAAAAAACGAGGATACAAATAAAATGGAACGTACAAACGCGTCACTCGTTACCCCTTGACGCGATCCGCTTGTCCGAAAGGTAATTAAAAGTTTCGATATGGCGCGTAACGAGGATAATGCGTCCGCGGCGTGGAGGTCCACGCGAAGCGCGGATTTCAATACTACCGAAACACGATCCATCCACGATCTTCCCTCTGTCGACTCGAAACGAGTAGCTCGACGAGAGTACACCGTTTCCACCCAACTTATCGACGAGATTCGCTCGCACGCCCCCTTTAACGCTTTATATCGCGTGAAAATTTCGCGCGGCTTCGAGCCACGTGTTGTCCGTCCCCGCCTCTTGCGCCTCTCCTCGGCGTCACGCCTCGGTGATCACGCGTGTATTACGACCCGTGGACGCGCGCTCTCGAGCGAATGGCGCATGGTATGTATTCGTAGATCACGGCTCGCCGATAAAACGAAGCGGCTCGTCGGTGCTTGGCCGATAATTAATTGGCCGTTGCTCATCCGAACAATTACACCTGAATGCCGCGGCAATTATCAGCGCGGCGCAGGGACGACGCGGCGCAAACAAACGCACTCGTTTGTCGCGTGGCTGGCTTATTACGGCCGGTCGTCATCGGCAAATTTTGACGAGCCGTCTCCTCCCCTCCACTTCCCCCCCCCCATCTATATACCCTGTATACCCCGCGTGAAAAGGGTGCATCGAGCGGCTAGCGTAATCGAGCGACACGTATCCTCCACGTGTATCGAAATTATGTAATCCTGCCGCGTCCCGATAATCGGCGACGCGTTTTTCCGCTTGGAAAAATCGGATTCGCGAGTGGAAGGAGGGGAGGGAATGGTCGCGACGACTGCGTTTGACAGGTGAAAATCGAAATGGCGCGGGAAGCGGTTGATCGGGTCACTGGAAACGTACGATCGACCATCCTTCGAGTCGTCGAGCAGAGACACCGCATTCAATCGATCAATTTGTCATCGAGCGACCCAGAATCGAAGATACCACGCGCCTCGCGATCATGCACGCGAGCGAGGAGATTCTCTGCGTCGCTCGATTCCACCACCTACCTTCTTCCTTCTCGGTAACGATACGAACCGATCGAACGATCGATCGTAACAACCGGTTCGTTTTTATCGTAACCGTAGCGATCCGAAATGGAATCGGTCAATCGGTGTATCGCAAGGGCCCTGGTGCGGCCTCTCTTTTTTTTAAATCGAATCGCGTTCGGCTAACGACTTCGATTGTCGTTCGATGACCGAAGTTGAAGGCACGTTTGGCCACCGGTTACGGCCAAAATGGTTCATCATCCGGGAACTTTGCGCGCTATTGGCATTAGTGGTTCGGAGAGTTCATCTGAAACTATGGCTCCGCCGGTTAGTGATCGCGGCAGTTGTTACTGGTAAACTGCATCATGGAATATCCGATAATTTTCTCACCCCTTCCCCTAAACTGGGTCAATCTGTTCTTAACCAAATCGCGTCGTGAGAGAGAGAAAAAAAAGGAAGAGGAGAATTCTGAAAACTTTAACATCCCCTCCTCCACTTGGTAATTTGTCACCTGGACGTCGATGTACAATTAACCCGAGCGGAGAACAAACTTTCAACTTGCTCGGACTCCCTTAATTTTCTCCAATCGTCGCATTTTCTCTGAAAGAGGCGAGGAGGGAGGTGCAACCGTTCGTTTCTCTCTTCTATTTTACTTGGGAGGCTTGGCAAGCCGATAACTAGCCGAAACCGTAATATCTCTGCCTCCGAGTACGCCTTTCAATTTGAATAATCCGATGAATAAATTTGCCCGACCGTACACCTCGTTGCAATCGCAACGCGCCGTTTCCTATCCTCTCGCCTTTCGCGCATTCCCACGGGACGCATTCTCTCTCTCTCTCTCTATATATATATATACATACCTCTGCTCTCCCTAATTTTTGATTGATCCCTCGAAAGAACGGTGGTTACGCGCGTCCAGAGAATCAAGACACACGGGAGACGGGGCGGCGAAAAGGTGAAAATTCGTGCTCCATTCCCCAGACCGATTGCCCGGAATTAACGAAGCCATTAGTACTTTCTTAACTTCCCCCAGTCCCGGCTGTTCCATCCGTGATTCGTCGGCCCGCTCCTCGTCACGGGGAGGCCAGCTGACGCG